TCAAAGGAAGGTGTAGTATATTTTTTATTGAAGTTTGACTTAATTATTTCAGGAAAGAGGCACTAAATGCACCTTTTCAACTACAAAAATCAAATAACTAATTTTTATCTAAATTCGTGTCCCTTTTTCATTGAGAAAAAACAATTTCTTGTATTTAAGTATACATGTATAATACCTTACAATGTTAAATAGCAATATAATGGGGAATAAACAAATGAAATTGATTGCAGAAAATCCCAAGGTTAGAGTTATGCAATTTTGGTTATTGTTTCAAGCTAATTAATGATAATTGTTACTTAAATTAACATATATTATTGACTTAAATCAGATGATTATAACCAGGCATGGGGTAATCGTAATCAGTAATCGTAATCAGCTGTAATCGATTACATTTTGCAATGTAATCACATGTAATCAGTAATCAAACATTTTCTGATTACAAGTAATCGTAATGTCATCAATTACAATGCAAAAAACAGGTTAAATCATGATTACTGTTAGTTTACATTCAAATGATTACTTGCTGATTACAAATTTCATATATAAAAATTGTTTTTTTTATATACAAGCATAAATAAAATTCCTCAAACTAATGTTCACTATGATTAATCATGGTTCAATATGATTGATCCTTTTAATAATTTCAGTTTCAGTATACTCATGCTTTAGGGTATGTAGGGTGTAAATGTGTGTGTTTTTTTCCAGTTTACTACATGAATATTTTATTGTTCCCTTAGGTTGCAGAAAATTCTAGGACTGTTAAGGTTAAGTGCAAATTTTGCTCTTTATGATGACTTTGATGTTCAACTTAAATTGATAATGGAAGTTAGAACCAACTGTTTTTTTCACAATTTTTATAACAAAATTCCATAATTTTTTATCATGTGTTTTCTTAATAAGTTTGTATACAAATATAAATTTTACAATCATGTATATAAGAAAAAATAAACTGCATACACATTTATTGATTATTCCAATCAAAACAATTCATTTTAATTACCCAAGCTCACCTATTGTTTGTTATTAAATTTGAAGTAGTGATTAACACCTGTAAAAACACATTTAAGTCTCAATTATATCCACACAGACAAAAATGCTACTTGATCATTAAATAATCACTATTCTTTTTCTTAATTGAAAATATATTTTGGGCGAAAAATTAAAATCAAAGCATCGTGGATGTTGTGATCCAGCCAATTTTGTAGCTAGTCTGACATTTTTTCTGACCATTCTTTCAATATTTCTTTCATTTCCATAATCGCAATGTAAAATTTGTATTATATTGTCCAAAGATGGAGAATTTTGCAATATTGATGCAAATTATTTTGGAATTTCAATTGAAGACACTATCAGATTGTTTTTACATCTTCTTTTTTTAGAAACATTTTCAATTCAATGATTTTGACAAGAATGTAAATATATTTATGTACGACAGGCGTATGAGTTCAGGTAGCGGGCTAATTGTAATAACAATAGAGTAAGAAGTTCCGTTAGTATTTAAAGTCGTGCGTGCACGAGAAAAGTTATCGACAAGGGTGGAGACCATCTAACGAGTAGTGTGTACGTGTATTTGTGTATAGGAAGATTAATCTTCAGTATAACAGTTCATGCCTTATATATGTAGAGTTCATATTTTAATTATGCGCTTTTCTTTTGTAGATTGTATGTTAATTGAATGAACTGATGCCATTGTATATTATTTGAATGAACTGATGCCATTTATGGTGAAAACTATTTGAGGACATTTGTCTTGTGTTTTATGTGTTTAATAAATTGTGAAGATGGTCACCGCACCTGACAGTCTCTATAATGGTGTTTGTCTTTATTAATACAGAAATAATTTCACTGCAAATATTTGAGACATACGTATTATTTTTCGTGGTTGGTATTAGGGTGTCGTCAGAAAATAAGGAGCCTAGAGTACATAAATAATTTATTTTCGGTTGAACAGAGTGAATTGAGAAAATAAAGGGAAATCTTTAAACGTGTAGCATATCTTTTATATGCCGTTTAAATAATAATTGGCTTAATGATTTCTAGAAAGCGGCATTGAAAATGTCTTTTCTCAACAACAACAAAAATAAATAACTATTTTTGTTTTATCTAAATTAGAGTTCATTCTTCATTAAGAAAAAAATACATTTCCTGTATTCAAATATACATGTACAAATACCTAATGCTGAGATAATTCCATTAACTGTTAAATAGCAATACAATGGGAAATATACAAATTAATTTAATTGCAGAACATGTTCAGGTAAAAATTATACAATTGTGTTTATAGTTTCAACCAAATAACTGATAATTGTAACTTAAAAAGACCTTAATTATTAACTTATGTCAGATGACACTAATTTTACAAATGAAATAAAATCTGGTTGCATTATACATATTTTATATTTACTATTTTTCTCAGTGGTATAAAAGTAATAAAAATCAGTTTAAATACGTTTGTAATGAAAAGTTGTGATGTGTTTCAACTTATTATCAGTTCATATCAACATGGAAGTAATAGTATACTTTCATGATATCAAAGAGGTTCAGAGGTCAATATTGGAGTATACAATGCACGTAATAAACAACTAAATAATATTTCTGATTGGGAAACATCGAGTGCATACAAGAACATTGTTTTCATATAAAGAAACACTGTTGTCAATTATTTAGTTGTTTATCACGTGCATTGTATACTCCAATATTGACCTCTGAACCTCATTGATATCATGAAAGTATACTATTACTTCCATGTTGATATGAACTAATAATAAGTTGAATGTAGTCTTTTCTTTGAAAAAAAACCACATCTCATTAATCAGTCAGCTTTCACACAAAATTAACAGAATAATCTTATGTAGTTATGATCAAAATAGATAATAGTTACACTATTTAGGTCAAGTTTTTGTGTATTCAGTTAGATGTGTAATGAATCGAACACACACAATCTTGACCTCAATACCAGTATGATTACCAACTGTCATGATATATTAAGTGTAGTCAATTATAATGGAGTTGATTCCAATTAAAACTTACACATTTACACCTTACGCACTGTAAACAGCGTCAACATAGGAAATTTTAAAGATCTACTTCAAAGAATTCAAATTGGCCTAAAATTTAAGTTTTACAAAATCACGTGATTATTTGTTGCGCAAAAATATAAATTTGGTATGTGCAAAGTCTTATCACTATTATGGATATTTACAGACATTATGGCACACATTTAATTGTTCTTAAAAATGACAAATTGTGTAGTTTTATACATATTTCTGATTGGGAAACATCGAGTGCATACAGGAACATTGTTTTCGTATAAAGAAACACTGTTGTCAATTATTTAGTTGTTTATCACGTGCATTGTATACTCCAATATTGACCTCTGAACCTCATTGATACCATGACAGTATACTATTACTTCCATGTTGATATGAACTAATAATAAGTTGAAACACATCACAACTTTTCATTACAAACGTATTTAAACTGATTTTTATTACTTTTATACCACTGAGAAAAAGACCACATCGTATTTATATGATAGGTCATAGTCTTTGCACTTGCTGTCTTCGTGCGTTTGTAAAAACTGATTGTATTAGATCCCAGATTTTTCACAAAGAACTTTTTCGAAGCAATATAATTGAAGGCCCTAAAGAACAGCAGTAAAAAAAAGTATAACAAAGATACCAAACTCAAAGGAAAATTCAAAAAGGGGAAGTAAAAAAAGAAAAAAAGAAAACGCTATCAATCAACGGAACAAGTGAAAAACAACTTTCATATTTCTGACTTGCCAGTTGGTACAGGCATTTTCCGTAGAAAATGGTGGGTTAAACCTGGTTTTGTAGCTAGCGAAACCTCCAATTTGTATGACAGTTTGGCACTAAGTATGATTTCATTAATAGTCATACTGAATATTTACGGAATAACCCAAAAAATCAGATATAATCAGATAGTAATACAATCACCGCGAGGTTCTTGGGACACGCACATGGGGCGGGATTAAACTAGTGTATAATACAAAAAGATAAACATGACAAATTTGAAGATAAGAGAAATACGACTAGATTTAAGATATTTATTGTTAGAAAATTATCGACGAAAAGAATATTTAATATAAGATGTTAAAACATCGTCCTCTCCTGAATAATATAGTACAATAATATATTCACGCCACCACTACAGCAACTAAACCCAATAGTTATATTTATGCATGAATTAACAAATTAAGATAAACTTTCCAAGTAAGCAAAAATAGTAATTCTTGTAGTTTTCCTATTTCCTGATAAGACTTAAACAATACATGCATCTTAAAAAATATTCTGATATTTAATAATAGAATAAGATTAGGTGATGTAATTGAATAAATTTAATAGTAGATCTAAAGGTAAACCTTCATTTTTTTTGTAAACAATTTATATGTTACAATGAATTTGTAAAATCGGTAGCTGTTTGAGTGATTTAGTAAAACCCTGAAATATTTAGAAATTTTATTAAATCACTGCAAATATTGCTATTGATTTTGTAAACAAGATATATAAACAATATACAAATACCCTCAGACATGTAGTGTTTCTTATACAGAAAAAAAGGTTTGAACTAGTATTTTTTTGCCAGATACCAGACGTAAAACATTTGTAAAGTGATTGCTAATAAAGTGCATATGTTTAGATACAAAAATTACAAGTTACTTTTGTTACTTTTGTTACAAACCATCGTTACTGGATGTCGCTTTTTTTTCTCACTTTCCCACACATCTCCCCATTACAACATGAAATGCATTAAACAAAACTAACATTTTAACTTAGTTTATTTTATGATCTATTGGGGATAAAAGTGGATAAAGTATAGAGAAATTGTTTGAAATATTGACAGTATTTCATAGTGTTCACGGCTGTCATTCGATATATCGAGAAAAATGACAGTGAAAGAATAAGTATGGTGATTAGATCGTGAACGATCTGGTATAGGATCGTCAAGGAAATCTTATCGAGAAGACACACTCAACGTCAGTAAATAATCTAGTTTAATGAATTATAATGACAAATATTAGAACAATAAAAATGTCTGTCAAAATAGTTCAACATTATGATCAGTTTTCGGGGAAAATGAAGTTTTAAAACTATACTGTTTTTACAAAACTACAAAAGGCAGATTGCTCCTCGAAATTTTATAGAAATAAACATGTAACTAACATGATTGTTTTCAAATTTTTAATGCATTAACGACTTTTCTCTTAAAATATCGTTCAATATTACTGTTTAAAATAGTTCTTAAAGTAATTATGTTTTAGTTAATCAGAAACCGAATTTTGATGATCGTGAAAAGGATCGTGAAAGGTCTGTTGCCGCTTATTTGTCATTGCAAAAATCCACGAAAACGATCAAATCTTTCTTTAACCACATTATAATTTATATTTGAAATTAGTAACAAAAGTAACAAAAGATTGGATTTGCATGACTTTTTCCGCTTATCTTTTGTTTTGAACAGGGCTATGATGGTTCAATGCTTTTGGGACAATATTTTATTTAAGTCTCACCTCTTCATTTTATAAAACATACAAAAAGTTAATAAAACATAATCATTAAACATACAAGAGCCACTCTAAAAAGAGTTATGAGAGACTATCTAAAAAGGTAAACATGGCGGTCATGTAAGTTTTTTTTCTAATGAATTTGCTTTATTGTAACAAATAGACTAGCACAACATGTATGAACAAAGGTATACATAATGGCATATTCACAGCAAGGAAGTTTTAAATCAAAAACAACAATTGAATATATAATGTTATTACACTTCATGTCAAAATGCCAGATTTTGATTGGTTAATACGAGGGAGACAATTTACTCTATCCTATGGTAAATACTCTATTACCCTTCACGGAGACGATTGATCAAATGTGAGCTTTACTAAATACGGATGGTTGCTATGTACAAGACGTCATAGTTTATTACTTTGAATTTGAAATTTAATAGACAGTAATGACAGAACATTCAGTATAATAAATTAAATAACACATATCTGAGAGGGTGATAGAGCAGATTGTTACCCCTCGAAAAGACATTGTCAACCTTGGCTTCGCCTCAGTTGACAATGTTTTCTCGGGGTAACAATCTGCTCTATCACCCTCTCAGCTATGTGTTATTTATATAGTGTAACATTAAGTTAAATATAAATAATCATCTAATAACAATGGAATCTTATTTCATTCTTGGAATATCTATGTGCGGTGTTTAAATAAAATTGATAAAACAAAAATCGACATTTATTTATTAGTCTGTAATGGGGATCCAGGGACCCCAGTATTTGTTGTAATCCTCTTCAGAGAGTTTTTTTAAATGAAATGATTAAATGTTCATGATTTCCTTTAAATATTTATTTAAAGCATTTAAATTTGTCAAAACTTCTTTGCAGAAAAAACATTATATGGATGATTCTATATTGGAACCAGCAAAGCTTAGTACTTCTAGTATATTTTGTAAACGAAATGTGTATTTTTTCCCAGTTAAATTGCTTTTAAATTTAACATTTTTAAAACACCAAAAAATAATCTTGACATAAAAGATCTCGCTTGACCTTATCCAGTTTATTATCCCATATAAATGTATACATTTTATTTGTCAAATTACGTAACATATTCTCATCTTGACTAGATAGAAACAGATGATTTTATTAAGATATGACCAAAGTTTTCAAAATGGTAATTTTTCCAAAGGGGGTTAGATACTATTTTGACCATTTTTCCAAAGTGTTGTCTTTATTATTTAACACTGACCTATAATTTAAATAAATCATTCTATCTAGATCAACTGAAAAAGTAATTCCAAGAAGCTTAAATGTGCTGAAGCCCCATTTCAATCCCCACTTAATACAAATTTGATCTTGGCTATGTTTTTTGCTACCTATCCAAATAACATTTGTTTTTTCTATATTAATCCTAAGTCCCGAGATTCCAGCATAAAATCGGAGAACAGTAAGAGATGCATCGAGTGATTCTGGCGAGCCATCTTATATCAATGATGTTTCATCCGCATATTGAGAAAGTATAAATTCTGTATCATCTATAGAAATACCCCTTGTCTCCCTACTACCTCTTACTAAAATGCCTAATATTTCTGCACATTGCAAGAAAATATAAGGGGATAAAGGATCCCCCCTGTCTACAGCCTCTTTCTACAGTGAAGAATTCTGACAGAAAACAGTTTTGTGTCACTGCAGCTGTCATATTACTTTAAAAAAGTTTTAACCCAGGATATACCTAAATCTCCAAAATTAAAATATCTTCATGTATCATAAATAAAGGACCAAGATATGGAATCAAATGCCTTCTCAAAATCAATCAACAACTGGAATATTATTTTCTTCAGTAAAATGCAGAATGTCATATATCAATCGACAATTTTGCCCTAGATATCTACCTGGAATAAAACCAGTTTGATCAGAACTTATTAATTTTGACAAAACAGATTTTATTTTCTCTGCTATACAGCTTGATGCCAATTTATATGTAGAATTAAGAAGAGTAATAGGTCTCATATTTTTAAGAAATTGTTTTGGTTTACCTTCTTTTGGAATAAATTTAATCACTCCCTGCTTCTAGGTGACTATAAATTGACCCTTCCCATATCCAAAATTTATAGATTTAAGAACAAATTTACCACTATCAATCCAAAGAAATTAAAAAAATTCTGCGGTGTAACCATCAGAGCCTGGACTCTTGTTATTTTTCATTCTCTTTAATGCTGCAGATAATTCAGAGAAACTAATATTTCTCTCCAATAACTGCTTTTCATCCTCGCTCAGCATCGGTATATCATCATAAAAATGTCCTGCGTTAAATCAACACTTTTCAAAAATCTTGTTTTTTATAAAATTTCTCATAAAACACTTTTGTCTGACTTAATATTTATTTTTGTTCTTCCACTACAACCCTATTTTCTAATGTAAGTTTCTGTATAGTCTTATTAATATAATTTCTAGTCTCTAGATTTAAAAAAAAAGTTAGTAGGTGTTTCCCCTTCTTCAATCCACTGACTTCTTGATCTGATATTTTGTACCTGAACCTTCTTTTGTCTATACATTTTTAGTTCTGCATTTTTCTGGTCTATCTCTTCCAGATTTTCTTCTGTTTTTGCATTTTCTTCTAATTGTTTTAATTTTAAAATAATCTCGGTTTCTTTTTACACTCTCCCTTTTTTTATAAGATTTATATGAAAAAGCGGTCATGTAAGTTAGTTGGAGAGGACCCAGAATGGCTAGATAGACTAGATAGTTAACAGATATATCATGTCGAGGAGTGGTATTTGTGAAAAATTCTGGGGAGTGTCGAGAGATGGTAAAATGTCATGAGCCAACAGGCGAAGGAAATACCTTCTCAAGACTGGTATTTTTCTCAAATTTACCTCATGAGCATGCTTTATCTGTTTATTTAAATCAAATATCAATAGAAATGGTTAAGATACACATTCGATTTAGTTACATTACTAGATATCACGACGGTAACAAACACAGTTGCATTTTATAAAACGCACAAATGATCAAGCGTCTCCCTGGAGGGTAAAAAATGTATCTACATTTCGGTTTATACCACGACAGAGAGTGTAAAAAAGGCATACCCTTGGGCATATACCCCGCGGCGGTGAACTATAAACGATATTTATTAGATAAAAGAAAATACATGAAAAATACACTGGCTCTCAACCAATCAAAATCCAGTTTACTTGTATAAGGTGTAATAATGTAAGAAATCTTCTGATTATCGTCTTCGAGGAAACGGTATTCGAACTGAATAATTTCCTACTACCTGATTGGAAGATAATACTGACTCTTTAATAGTTGAGTCCGTTGATAAACTGGTCACCTGTTGTGTTCGCTTATTGTTAGACAGCTTTTAAACAGAAAAGCGGACCAGGTTAGTCTGTTGATTGGTTAGGACTAATAATATTGTTTTACACGGGGATCTTTAGTGGAGGATTTGGGCTGGGTTGGAAGTTGTCTAGCTATCCCTACCTAAAAAGCAAAAATTGAAGAAAAACAGATGACGAATAAATCCGAAGGGGATAAAAGGAGAAAAAACGACTCTCAGACGATAAAAGCAATTATAATACATGCATGTTGACATATCTTAAGCGATGCTTACTTTCTATGAATGATTTAAATAAGACGTGAATTATTCATTTTTAATTAAGACAGCAACCCAATTAAACGACACACAAAATAATTTACTTCTAAAGTTCAACCTACGGTCTTGTACAATGGACATGTTATTACAATATTTTAACTTTTTAATCCTCCAAAGTATAGCTATAATACAAAGAATAGTTGTCAATACATGTAAAACATACATTAAAGGGGCGTTAGCTACGAAGTTGACAAATAATCAAAATAAGATTTTTTTTTTTAAACATTTATAAAAGCAGAATTGTGAAATAATATTTCATTATAAGCAGCTAGTTTTGGTTCAATTTTGTCAAAATAAGCTGATGATGTATTTTGGCTTGCAATTCAAAAATTCAACTCATTTGAATCCGTATTCATGCAAACTTCAATTCAACCCTTAACTGGCATGGACTACGTATGGGCTAAGCATGTTTAGTTATTAAAAATAGTAGAAGGTCAACATTGGAAAGTGAAACAAGGCAGCCACCGTGATGGTCTCTTTCGTTGACTTATTCTGCCTACAAAAAAATCATTCAAATACAGGTAAAACGATGATTTACATATTTCTTTTAATCTATGACATGAAATAAAACATACTTAAAAAAATTGTCATTGTACGATTGAACGCGCTTGCCTGTGTATTTGTATTCATATTTATGTTTAAATCAGGTCATATGACCTACGCAATTCTTCGAAAATTGGTTAATTATATGGCGTCTATTCTTAAGTACACACGAAACGTTGATGTATATTATAACAGTTATGCATTGTAAATTGTTTCTTTAGGAATTTTTGTAATTTGGATGGACGTTTTAGTCTGTCATAAATACAAAATGATATTTTGTGTCGAAGCGGTGAACATGAATTTAATAAAAAAAAAAGATGAATGCAGATATAACTTAAACAATGATTGGAGTCTTAAATTTGTTGAGATTTATTGACTATTTATACTATGCATATCATATGAGAGAAGAGAAAAAAAATATACATCTAAAAGACGAACATGCTATTGGTATTGGAAATGATGATTAGATGTTTTCCAAAAATTATAGCTAATCTAGTTATTGTCTTAAGAATGATTCACTGTTATATCAAACATGAAATCCTAAGCAATATCAAAAAGATAACCATAACCTTGGACAAAATGCCGCCAAATAAAATAACATATTCAGGTAAATAAAAATAATTTTGTAGTTCGGTATACATGGAGTACGGAAATATTTTTTACAAAATAAATAATTTGTTGTTCATAGTACGAGAACAGAAGTGAAAGTGGTCATATTTGGGCCTTGTCTAACATACTCCTCTACCTAGCTTAGTGTTTAGTATTTTTAGATCTCAACCATTGCCGTTTTAATCAGTTTTGAATGTTCCTGGCCAGCGTATATACATATACATCCTCCACCCCCAAAAAATGAAAAAAATGGTAAATCTCAAAGTTATATAAGTCTTTTATGTTTAACCTAATTAACTTGAATTTATATACAAATAGTTAAAATGTAATGTGAAACCATTCACCAATTTCACCAGCTATGTGACGGCTTGCTTCTTGGGAAATGTATTACTTGTCACGGGGTTGTTGTCGGAATGACGTATAGTACACATCTCATTTTCGTATATTCATGGTGCTTTCACAATTAAATTTTTTTAAAGTTTTCCAGACATGAGGAGCACAAGTTATATGATTTAGGGGTTCAAGGAAAGGATAATACAATAAAATGCTATAACATTCAATAAAACAATCCTACTTAATTTACATAAAATGAAAAATCCGATTAAACAGATTTCATATGAAACTAATTATAAAAGTTTATTTGGTTATACATTTTTAACATGATTGCTTAATTTGTCGATACCAGCGTTAAAACTATACACATCCAATGGTATCAATTAGCCTACGAGATCGTCGAGATCATCTTCTTTAAATCCTTCCTTAACAGCTTCTTGTATTGCTGGCAAATTATCAGGAGGAGGCATTACAGCTTCCACTTCTCGTTGAATTCTGGAAATTCTCTCGTCTATAGCTTCTTCATATTTCTGATGCTGCTCTTTGATTTTTTTCTTTATAGCACGTTGTGCGGATTCGCATTGGTCATGTAGTTTTTGTCTCCCAGACAGTATTTTCTGCTTATCTATTTCAGGGTCTAGTCCTATCAAATCTGACAGTTGTGTTATCTGTTCCATTAGATTTTCTCTCGATATTTCAACGTATGCCCCGGCCATTGTACTGACAACATAGCTTACTCGGCTGGCATGCAGCGTCTGTTCATACATGTTTGCGCGAAAAGCATTTGACATCATTTCTCCTTCTCCTTTCAGTTTTCGGCTTACAGTAGCAGTTTGAACAAACTTCTTCAGAGACGTGTTCATGCAGCATTTGATAATATTGGATATTTCTTCGAAAAAGACAACAAGTTTTCCCCACTGCGCTTTTACTTGTGCCAAAGCTCTAATTCCCTGCTGTAAAGTCGTGCGAACCGTGTCAAAGTCGATTTCTTCGAGCTTTAGTTTTTTCATGGTCTTCAAGGCATCACAGAGTCTTTCGTTTGCTTCCTCTAGTTGCTTGTCAGCTGCATCCTGCCTCTCTTTTGTGTCTCGAAGGGTTTCTTTTGCTAACTCGGTCTTAAATCTTGCGGTTTCCATAGCTGATTTAACGATGTTTGGATTTTCACTTTGAACAGGCATTTTTTCAAGGCATGGAGACTTTTCATCAAGCGGATTTCTTCCCAATTTTTTATTTGCTTTTGCAACAAGTGACATACTTTCCGTTCTTATCTCTAGAACCTTGTTTTGGAGGTCTACCACTGTTCTGTCGCTATAAAGGGCACAAGAGATCTTTTGTGCTTCGCTGCAAATTTCCTTAGCTTTTTTGCAAAGTTCAGAAATCCGGACTCCAAGTTTACCGGCATCCTTTTCTGCCGACACGTTTGCCTGATGCCTTGACAGGGAAGCTTGCAATGTTCCAATGTTATCTTTAATTGCATTCAGGTCAGGTTTGTGTCCAGGGGTACCAATTATAAGTTCAAGGCTTTGTATATTTGTATCTATCATTGCTACTGTTGTGAGAACGTTATGCTCAGCTACTTTAACATTATAACCCTTGGTTGTTCCAAGAATTGCTTTTGGTTGTTCAGGAGTGCCTCTTATCCAATCATGTGCAATATGAAAGGATCCTGTTCCAAGACCCCTGACAATGTCTGAAGGCAGTCCTATTATTGACTTTACAGAGTTAACCATGCCCTCTGCAAAAGACAATCCCAATAGTTGTCCGCTTCCCGGCATATCTTTGATTGTATGTGTATATTCATCCTGAGCCTTGTTCACCTGTTTTTCCATATTTTCATATCTTTTCTTTCTTTCCTTTTGGGCCTCTGCTGCACGTGTTTTCTCAAGCTCAGCTACTTCTATCTGTGTTGCCGTATTCTTTGCCTTTCGATCGTGCACGCTTTTTGTATTTGTTGAGGCTTCTAGAAGTTCTTCGGTAAGATGCATGACGAAAAGAAATTTGTCCTCAATGTTCTGAGCCAACTGCAAACTATCATCGGCAATTTGTTCAACACTTTTTAAAGAAAATGGGAGCATTTCTTCCACTTCTCTAGGTGAACCGGCCATGAGTAGTCTTACAGAATCCTTTATATGACTATCAACGTTTCCTGACATCAGCCGTATTTGGTCCATACTGGTGTGTGCTTCGTTAAATGCATTCCATCCACTGTTAGTCACCTGTACTAAGCAAGCTCTGAAAGAATCAGGATATTTGATATAGTCAAACCCGTTAGTTGGCATCTGTTCTGTCAAGGTAAAATCTGTCTTTGTTGAGATTAGTAAAAGTTCTCCAAGTATGGCTATGGCTGATGGTGCTGGGGTGAGAAACCTATCCCAATTGGCAAACGGTGCCATCATCAGTAAACAGTCGTCTTTTTTATCTTTTCCTTTAGATATACTTTTTATTGCCTTTTCAGTCTTCTCTATCGCTCCGGCAGAAGCCATTTTTCTGTAAATATAAATATTTACAATATTTGCAACAATGCCTTTTTTATCAAATAAAATATCGGTTTCTTCAATGTTCTTAAACGATTTCAATGATATACGGCTGCTATATTCTGTTATATTAATCGGAAAAATATTTCAAAACTGACATTGTCCTTTTCGTTGAAACTGCACGTTGTGATAGAAGATGTTCTAGTTCTATCACATCTAATATAAAAATAAAAAAAAAGAAGAAAACTTTCGATTTTGATTGAAGACATTCAAGAGCGACATATAAATATTTTCATTGTGAATACCTCATTGGGTGGTTAGGTTCAATAAATGGCAAGCAGACTGTCAACAGGGACAAGCACCACAAATATGGACAAACTTTAAAATAAACATATTTTATCTTAAAATTATATGGTGTAGTTACTTTTTATCACACAAAATTGGGTTTTCCATGCATAATCTATACAAAATCTGATTATGCATGGAAAAACCAATTTTGCACAACCTGTTGCGTGAAAAAAAGTCCGGTGACCCATACTTTTTATTATATTTTTGAAAAAAAGCATGATATAATCTACATTTTGACAAATTATTAAAAAAAAAAAAACTCTATGGATTTTAATTTAGACCCCCATCTACCTTAATGTCAAAAACATTTTTTGTTATTTGATTTTTCTGAACTATTTGAGGACTATGGGTTACGGTCAGTAATATTGTCACTAAACCGTACGAATAATATAAAATCCACTTTGATTTCCAAAGCATTTTATTTATCATATTCTTAGACTGTTTTTGAATCTTTGCATTTAATTCCAAAACATAAAATTGTACCTGTAAATCAAAACCAGTTTTTTTGATTTAATAGATTTCTGTCTGTTATATAGCCTTAGCTATTGCTCTCTTGTGTCTTAAAATTGCCAACTATCATTATTCATGCAGACGGTCGCAGCTCGACGATAAAGTATACGTTAATTTTGACCCCTTTATCTAGCAATAATCTGTTATGACTACTGGTATTTAACTGGTGATATTATTTCCCATCTCTAGATGGCAGAACTAGTACAGTGAGTATTCTTTTTTGTAATACTTATATATGGCAGCGGCAATAATTGAAATAAGGCAATAAGCTTAAATCCCAGACAATAAGTTGACGCCTAGGCATTAAGTTATTACCGGAAATTTTCAGGCATTAAACTTAAATCTTAGGAAATAACCTAACGCCTAGGCATTAAGTTATTACCTGAAATTTTCAGATATTACGCTTATTTCCTGAAATCTGATGAAGATCATTCAACCTATTGCCGAACATCATTTCAGACAATAAATGAACTATTGATTTTTTTGTTTTATCTTCCGAATACATGTACATTCGGTGAAATGTTCATGATGTATAGTAATTTCCCGACTTATATTCAAAAATTCATATTAATATACATTCATTTGAGTGATCTTCAAATTTTAGTATTTTCCCGTATTCAAATCAGAATAAACTCGTATTTCTTTGTGGTTTTAAAAAAAATGTTTTAAACAAGTGATTGTAGAAAATACGAGTTTAAAAATTATATCTGAAAATTATTTGAAGAAAATTCAGACTTCACTGGTAGAGTTGATTTGAGCTGGTCAGAGGGAGACAATTGTAGATATGATTTTTTGCTTTATTTTATTGGATATATAAATTTTCTTGTTAAACATTTTGTTAAATACTCATAGGCCATCTTGTCTTTTTCACTTCGTAATCTGGATTATAAGCATACAGGTGACAACATGTCTACTGAGGACAAGTATTTAAAAATATATTCCAACAAGGGTAAGGGGACCAACACAGTAATGCATCCGTGTGATGACTTTAGTGTAATTGAACTGATCGTTATGAACACAAGTGTCATAATCACAAAATTTTAACTAGTTTTAAAATATATTTTTTTGTCGGGATTATCAATAGTTTTTAATTACTCTCAATTACATGTTTAACCTTATTATTTATTTACACTCTCTTTCAGAATGTATTGTGCTACGTATGTGACCAGGATACCTCGGAGCTCATATGTGTAGTAAATGATACAAACACAGTCTTGTTATATGTGGAACTATTGTTAGTAAAGAGGAGTACGGTTCGAAGGTGTTATGTCCAAATTATACGATTTATACCAATAGAGCACATATGGACCGTCAACTGAAGCAAGCAAACGCAATGATAGCCAGAATAAAAAAAGATTGGTGACTCCAGAACTGTTGATCATAACTGTGGTAGTACCAATACATATGTTTGATCAACGGAAGGATGACAATAGTAATTTACTAGGTAGATTAATTGAGGTAAAACATTTGATCAATAATTTGACTGCATCATTTGATATGTTAAAGGGAAAAAAAAACAGAAAATAACGGTAGAAGAACGAATGATGTTTATGTAAATAATGAATGCGGGACAATGGCACAAAGACAGCACAAAATCAATCAACGAATACTCATAGTTACCTGAAAATAGACACCAATAATTACTTATTCCAACTCGCACAAATATTATTTTAACAATCAGATATATAAATGAAAATATTCAAATTGCCTTAATAAAACTTTCAATCGTTTATTTTTCAGGTCAACGAAAAGGGCAATGATTTTGTAGGTAGAAGATTTGTTGAACCAAGACAGGTTCTAGGCATATTTGGATCATATGAAATGAGCATCTGTTGATAGAATTAAATTTTAGAAGAGGAAATAAACCGTAAAACTACTTTAAGTGTTTGCGTTTCAGCAACAGAGCAGTCATTTTTCGGCGCTCAAGAATTTTTTATATTTGAATCCAAATGATTGAATTTCAGGTGCAAATGCAAGAAAACTTAATATATTTCATAACCCGTCCTAACTGCAAGGGCAACTATATTGGACAGACTGGAACAGTATTTTGGAAAGGGTTAGGATTCATAATGCAGCAATCCGACAACCGGATTACTGAAATATCCCGTTAATTTAAATTTCATTTTTTCTATTTCCAAGTGTCAAGTTCCATCAGATTAAACCATTGTGGTGACGTCAGCCTATTCATTTACCGTGGATTCTTTTTCTAGAATCAACGCTTCCTAAATCTGCCGCTGAAATTGACTCACCAAATTATATTCAATTGTTTCCTTTGTGTGCCTAATTTCATTAAGTTTGAATTGGCTAATTTACTGATTTCTGTTCACTAATGGAATTAATTTAAAAACTTACCTTTAATTTTTGTAATTTGTATATGCCTTCACTGGGAATCGAACCCTTCCTTGAAATCTGTTATGTGTGACTGACATCAACACACCGACGAAACCTCTCGGCTACCAATGGGTTACACTATAGATGTTTATTATATATATTTAAATGAACATCTGATATACATCGGTTCATCGGACACACAGGGCTTGTACCTTTATATAGACACAATAGGCAGTCGTATAGTATGAGTTGGTAGCCGCGAGGTTAGCATGGTTAAAATCAATGAGTTAATGATCGGGATTTGTCGGTTTAGGTTCGAATCCCTGTATTCTCTCTGTTGTTCCAATTCTTAAGTTATCCTGTTTTTTTTCTAATTTTGCAAGTTATAGTGGATATTTTTGTAATAATAGCGAGTTTTACCGGGTTTTTTTTTATTATTATTGGCTATTTCACATGTTTGAAACAAAAATGATTACATTCTATTTGTCAATTTTTGTTTTATAAATATAGTATGATTTCATCTGTTTTACTACATAATTTTACAAAGGTTTGTTCGCAAATTCCTATGCGAGAAAATCGTGATGTGCCTAGAGTGCTAGAAAAATTTCGATAACATACTTATTATATATACTTTATATATGCTTTTTGGTCGGGTTGTTGTCTCCTGGACACGTTACCCATTTCCATTTACAATTTTATTAGAAATAATTTCGAATATGTCTTATTTTGTATAAACAGATAATATTCATATGCCTGGTAATATAAAGATCTTTAAAGGTAGAAGTGTTATATTTGTATTTGTTAACCAATTAATTGTGATCTGAGATTTATCAATGCATCGTTGGACACGATAACATGGTTATTTAAACTCACTTACAATACCTTCTAATTAAGAAAAGGCTTTAATTTTGAAAAGAAATTAACACAATAGTTTAAGTTATAGATACAATGGATAAGCGTAGATTCATGAAAAACAAACCATTCGCCCTCCGGGCTCATGGTTTCTTTTTCAAGAATCCACGCTTATCCATTGTATCTATATAACTGAGTATAGAAAGAAACTAGAGAACAAATTTATGAAAATATATGGTACAAAAATAAATGCAAAGTAAACTTTCAGAGGATTCTTGGTCAACAACAACGTTACCTCACAGTAACAAACCCCAACACAATAACACGTGTTTCATACTGTTGAATTGTTAAGGGTGCATTATTATGACCGAAGATTGGTAAAAGCGCAAATTAATATTAGTAATTTAGAAAATGTTTTTTTCAGTTACTTAATTTATACACTGTTTCAGAACTTTTCGTATGTACATATTCATAATTCAGTCTGACAATGTTAGAACTGTAAATTTGCGGTAGCAAATTTTGTTCTTCACTCAGCAGGATTTGAACATTTTGATAAATCTGCATGCACTGTGTCAAACTTACGTTAGTCGAGTAATACTTTTCCTCATCGGCTTTAAAAATATAAACACAGAACATCAGTGATCAAGAAGTCAAAACATTACATCGTGGAAAATACATGACAAAGACGGAAAAATAAAAATATCAGAACGCAATAACAAACAAGAAACTCAACACCTTTAATAATTTTAAATGAGTAGCAGAAATGAAGTCAGTTGTCATCAACGGGAAAATCGTCAATACTGATACAAACAATTATTCAAAACAAATATTAGTTAAGTTAAAAAACGTTAAACTTAAAAAGCTTTTATAGTGTCTTTTTTAGCTTATAATTAGCACTATATTTTAAATTTAGATTAAAAGCATAGATTTCTAAACTGGTTTCACGATGTTTATGCACTGTCCTTACTTTTG